ACAAAGTGAAGTAAGTCAGACAGAGAAAGACAAAGATCATTTATCACTTATCTATGGAATCTAAAAAAGTAGTACAAATGAACTTATTTACAAAATAGAAACAGAATCACAGACATAGAAAACAAACATATGGTTACCAAAGGGGAAGGGAGAGGGAGGGATAAATTGGGAGTATGGGATTAACAGATGCACACTACCATATATAAAATAGATAAGCAACAAGTATTAACTGTATAGCATAGGGAACTATATTCAATATCTTGTACTACAGAAGCAACCTTAATTCAAAAAGACACATGCATCCCAATGTTTACAGAAGCACTATTTACAACAGCCAAGACATGGAAACAACCTAAATGTCCGTTGACAGATGACTGGGTAAAGAACTTGTGGTATAGTTATACAATGAAATACTACTCAGCCATAAAAAAGAATAAAATAATGCCATTCTCAGCAATATGGATGGACCTGGAGATTGTCATTCTAAGTGAACTAAGCCAGAGAGGAGGAAAAAAAAATACCATATGATATCACTTATATGTGGAATCTGAAAAAAAAAAAAGACAAAGGAACTTATTTATAAAACAAAAACAGACTCACAGATACAGAAAACAAACTTATGGTTACCAGGAGGGGAAGAGGGTGGGAAGAGATAAATTGGGAGTTTGAGATTTGCAGATATTTAATATACATATATAATAGATAAACAACAAGCTTATACTGTATAGCACAGGGAACTATATTCAATATCTTGTAGTAACTTATGGTGAAAAAGAATATGAAAATGAATATATGTATGCTCATGTATGACTGAAGCATTATGCTGTACACCAGAAATCAACACAACATTGTAAACTGACTATACTTCAATAAATAAATGTATATATATATACAAAAAATATCTTGGAATAACCTATAGTGAAAGAGAATAGGAAAAAGAATATAGATATATACATATATATGGATAACGGAATCGCTTTGCTGTACACCTGAAACTAACACAATATTATAAATTAACCATGCTTCAATTTTAAAAAATGCTTTAAAAAATATGTCTAAACACATAGGTGTATATGTGGCTCTATGCCCAGAAGATCATTAGAAGAGATACATAACAAGGTGTTAAAACAACAGCTGGATTCGAGGGCTGTTACTTTTCTTCCTCTTTCTTGCTTTGTGACTTTATTTTGCTTGACTGATTTTTCTATGTAGCCTGTATTTATTGAGCAGCCACTGAGCATCAGGCAGATGGTCTCCTATTTACTTCTGAAAGTAAGTTGTCTGAAGGTGAGGAACCCCAGAGAGGTCAGGCCTCTTACCCAGGATTCAGAAAGCTGGAATCCATCTGAGTCAACCTGCCTCCAGAATCCAGCTTCATCTTCCTCCCTGGGACAGGCCAGGCTAACTCAGTGGTGGTGGAATTGGGGGAAAGCTGCCACCCAGGAGCATCTGATGCCCTGGGCTGACTCTAGGCCCAACCAGACACTGACTAGGACAGCATAACTCATTCCAGTGCCCCTAGGCTGCTAATGCACTTTCCCCCTGGTCCAGGGTCTGGCCTGGGCCACATCTTCAGGCAAAGCTCCCCAGTGCCTGCCTCAAGCTGGGCAAGAGGACCGGCAACACCCTCCTGACCACCAAAGTGGGACAGTATGTCACTATGCACTTGTATTCTGTTTTTTTCCCTCCTTAATTATGAATACTTTCACTCTGAAGGCTGGTGCAGATTTCGATGTGTCTCTCCCTTGTGAGAACGTCCTACCTACGATTTTCTTTTGGTTTTTTATTCCCAGGATGATAGGCCTAGAAGTTTGGAGAAAAGAGAGCAGCAGGCGATTGACTATTCATTTTCCTCCTGAGCCCCAGGTGGTTTCTGTTCCCCACCTGGGAGTTGGATGAAGAGGAATCAGGGGACTGTCTCTGTACGCAAGATGCTTGGTGTACTCATTTTCAACCTTGGCTGCGTGCTGGAATCACCAAGGGAGCTTTAAAACTGTTGGTGCCTGGGTCCACTGCTAGAGTTTCTGATTTAATGGGTCTCAGGTGCAACCTTGGTGCTGGGGATTTTAAAAGCTCCCCGAGTGATTCTAATGTGTGGCCAAGGCTGAGAACTATGGCCTAGGACACCTGACCCACCTTCCCCTATAGTCCATGGAGACAAAGTTTGTTTGGCGAAAATAGTTTTTCCTTCTTGGTCAACTCCTACCTAAATGAAACAGTGTGGGTAAAGCTCTTGGGAGGACTCAGGGTTCTCAGTGGCCCACTGAGAAAAGGGGTCCTCAGAGAGGCCGAGCCCATATCTGACTCTCCCATCCCCCTTTTATTCAGTATGGAATCGTGCTCGATGCCGGGTCTTCCAGAACCACAGTCTATGTGTATCAGTGGCCAGCAGAGAAGGAGAATAATACTGGAGTGGTCAGCGAAACCTTCAAATGTAGTGTAAAAGGTAAGACCCAGAGAAGCAAGGGAGTGCTGGAATGTGCTTCAGGGGCCTGCAGAGGTCCTGAGATGCTGCCAGGAGGCAGAGAGTGAGCATTTGACTGAGTGTCAGGGAAATATGAGTCCTTGTATCAGTGCTGCTACTCATCAGTGCAGTGACCTCTGGCCAGTCCCTTCCCTTCTCTGGACTTGAGTTTTTCCATCTATAAAACATGAGGGGTTGGAGCAGTCAAGAACTGTGAATGACATGAGATTTTACTTTGCCGCACTTTTGTGGATGCTGGTGGAATACACAAGACTCCAGTGTCAGAAATAAAGGACAATTTATTACAGTAATATCTGTAGCTATTTCTTATGCTGGTTCTCTGAGCCCCAATTTGCACAGGATGAAGTAAAGAGGGCCAGATGGTAACCTGCTCACATAGTGGGTTGTGTTACAGAAAAGGAACCCTGAAACATTTATAATGGGTGCAGAGCACGCCTGCGTTTTGCTCTTGAGGGAAACAGTATTTGTATCTTTCTGAGCCTGTTTGTTATGCAAATGTCCTTGAAAAGATAGTCCAGAACAAAGGCAGTCAATGCCTCTGTCATAAGACATGAGACTCATGGAAAACTGTAATCCAGTAGGAAAACTGTATTCCAGTTGGCTGTGTATATGGGATGGATGGGGAGGAGAGAGACAGAAAATATGTAAACAAACAGGTGTGGCTTTGTTCCAGTAAAGCTTTATTTATGGACCCTGAAATTTTGAATTTCATATAATTCTCAAATGTCACAAAATAGTATTTTAAAAAATTTCCCCCAACATTTAAAAATTAAAAAGTAAGAATATCTTAGCTCACAGCCTGTTTAGAAGAAGGTAGTGAACTGTATTTGGCCAGTGAGCTGCTAACGCCTGAAAGCAGAACATTATCAGGATCCTTAGTGCCCCTCCACACAGTCCCTGCCTCCTTCACAATGCAGCCTGAATTGGACGTTGACTGTTTCCTGTTCTTCTTCATAGTTTTATCCTTATGCATTTAGTTTTTCCTGTTTTTGAAAACAGAATCAAGCACATACTTATATAATTAGAACCATTTATTTTTCTGTAATTTGCTTTGTCCACTCACGCTTGGTTTTTAAGATTCATCGATGTTGATATGAGTAGCAGTATCTCATTCATTTCTCCCTGTTGATGGTCTTTTGTATTTCGCTGGTAATATTCTGAACATGAATGCTTTGCTAGGATTATTATTGTATTGTTACTCATATCCTCTCCTGGTTTATGGTTTACCTTTTTAGTTTCTTCATGATGTCTTTTGATGAATGGAAGTTCTTAATTTTCATGTAGGTACAATTATCAATCTTCTCCCTTATGGTTTGCTCTTTTGTTTTATTTGAGAAATCCTTCCCTATCTTGAGGTCATAAAGATATTCTTCTATCAAAAGTTATATAATTTTGCCTTTTACAATTAAGTCTTTAGTCCACATAATCAAGCCCAGTTTGTGAGCTTGTGTATGTGTGCAGCATCCTCTCTAGAGCATTACGGCCTGTGACTTCGCCTGATCTTCCCAACCAGTGTGTCCTGAATGGGCTACAGGGATACCCTCAGGCTACAGGACAAGAGGTTAGAGTCCCTGGACCAGGCCTCTCAATCCCAAGCAGCCTCCTTCATTTCCCTCAGTGAGCTGTCCAAATAGAATTCCTTCTCAAGGGTCATAGTATTGAAAAAGTTGGGAAGCAGAATTAGCCTTTCCCATAGGGAAGCCAAGAGTCTTTTCTGGATAACCAGGGTGAGTTGTGTTCATCTGCCCATCCACAGAGGACGCTGAACAAGGCAGCTCACTGCAGCTGAGGCAAACCCCGAAGGAGCTGACAGGCTGGGACACCAAGACTTTACTTGAAGGGGCATCTGTGTGGCACCTCTCTGGGCTCCCCACAACAGGGGACTTGCATGTTTCCTGAGTACTGCTTGTGTTGTTACTCACAAGACACAGGCAGCAGCAACCTTCCTTGGACTTCAGCCAGAGATTCCATCTTTGTCCTCCTAACTTCTGAGCCATTTCTTCACCCCAAGCATGAAAGAGAGTAGCAGGATGTTTCTTTAGAAAAGAGAGACCAGCCATTCCAAGGAAAGAGAGGATAGTGCAGGATAGTGATTAAGTAGAGGACAGTCACCTCATCCCTACTGCATGAGCTCTGGAAAGTTACCTACCCTCTCTGAGCGTTGACCCCATCATCTCTAAAATAAAAACATAATAATAGTAATACCCACCCCGCAGGAATGATTTGAAGATTAGATGACATAATACATGTAAAGCAGGTAGCAAATGCCTGGCATAAAGTAGGCACTCAGTGAGTGTTAGCTATTATTCATCATGGGGCATCACACTTGACAGCCCCCGGGGGATACTCTTGCCAAAAGCTTACTCTAACATAGTTGTAAGATCTGCCTCTGCACCCAGGACAGCAATTTAGCCAAGTCAGTTCTGATGGCCTCTGACTGCAGGGAGAGGTGGCACTTTCATGGGGAGGGACCCAGGCAGTTTCTTGGGGGAAGGGGCCCTTGGCCCACCCTCGATGTGATTTTAGGGGATGAGCAGGGTCACGGAGGCCCACACCACATCCATAAATGGATCTTCCCTTTGATCACAGTAGCCTCAGGGATCCATATATATTCTGAAAGAGCAGAAGACCACAAACTACAGCTCAAATGACAGAGTTGAGGTTTGGCAAGTGTCATCCCCTGAAAGCCACATGGCTTCACCAAGCATAATCTGGGTTTCTAGTTTCTCAGTTGCAAATTTCCCCAGGCCTCCCCTGCCCTGGCCAGTTTGAAGGGGTGGTGAATGCTTGCTTACGCTGCAGTGTTTCCCGAAAGCCCAGGTCCTCAGAATTTTCTTTCTTGGGGGGGGTCTCTGGTGAGTATCAGTCCTCAGGTGCTGCTGTTTTCCACGAGTTCACCGGGTGCTGCCTTAGCTGCTAGTCCCCACGCTGGTGTCTGTAGCTCTCGCCGCTTGTTGTAAAGCCATTCCCTGGGGAGTACTAGTTCCTTGCCTGCCCCTCATCTCTTTTGCAGGGTGCACTGCTCATAATTACTGCTGCCTTCTCCCATAAGGGACATTCATGTTTTCCCTTTAAACCAGCAGTTAAAAATTCTTTAAACTCCACTGGAACCCAAAACTTAAATATCTCCTCCATTGAAATACCTTAAAGAGCTGCTCCAGGGACCAGGCCACTGTAGTATTGAAAAGCATCCTTTGCTCAGACACGTGCCTTTTGCTTCTGTCCCACCTCATGTAAGTCTTGTGCCATCTGTCCCACCTTCTCTTCGCAGAGTGGAATAGCAGTTTTAGCTCTTTTCTTGGGGTCGTGACTCCCAGGATCCCATAAGCCTGTGAACCCAATTTCCTTTTCCCTCAGGGAGGCTTAAGGAAATTTATGCAAATTTGGGCCTCAGGTGACACAGTCAAATGCCCAACATTTCAACATTCTAGAAAGGCTCCTAACCAGTCCCCATCCAGGGACCAGTTCTGGCAGAATATATTTTGTTTGCTGTAGACTAGACTATACAATACAGTAATAGTGCTGCATGCTGATTTGAAAATCTCACTGATTGATTGATTCATGTATTTAATAAATATTTATTGGGTGCCTGCTGTTTGCCAGTAACTGTTCTTAACACTGGGAATTCTAAAATCACCAACATATACAAAGTCTCTGCTGTTACAGAACTTACAGTCTAATGGAGGAGAGATAATAAATAAATGGGTGTATGATGTCAGGGAGGAGTGCTGTGAAGAGAAACCAAGCCACGTAGGTGGGTAGAGAGTGACCATGCTATTTTAGACAGGATCATCGAGGGAGACCAAAGAAGGTGATAAGGTAAGCAGAGACAAAAAAGTCTTTTTTTTCCCCTGCCTTTGCAATTCCTTTCCTCCATATTTTGGAGTAGACCCATTAGTGTGACCATATGAACCATAGCACATACACCTGTTTTCAGTCCCTACTAAAACCCATTAACTGCCAGAGCTGATTTGTTTTTTTATTTAAAAGTTGTACCACTCTTGTTGGTTCCTGGGAATGCTAAGAAGTGCTGACTGCTTGCTCTTCAGGCTCTGGGATCTCCAGCTATTGGAAAAAACCCCAAGATGCCCCCAAAGCCTTTGAGGATTGCATGCAAAAAGTCAAGAGGCAGGTTCCAGCCCACCTTCATGGATCCACTGGCATTTACCTGGGGGCCACGGCTGGGATGCGCTTGCTAAGGTAAGAGCTGGAATGGCACAAAGAAGCCCATTGGACCAAAATAGCCAGCAATGTGTTGAACTTTTCCATTTGTAACTTTATTTCTGGGAATAAAGCCAAAAGATATTCTTTTTATTCTGTATATTCTGCCATATATTTAGGCTTTAATTTTTTTGGAGGGGGGAGGTAATTAGGCTTATTTATTTATTTATTTATTTTTGATGAAGGTACTGGGGATTGAACCCAGGACCTCCTGCATGCTAAGCATGCGCTCTACCACTTGAGCTGTACTCTCCCCGCTTAGGCTTTAAAAGTTAGGAAACTTTTAGTCTTTATTTTAATACTCAGAAAGAAACAGTTCTAAAATTGATGCCCTTTCCCTTGGTGATTTTACTGAGAAACTGTGGGGAAAAAGGAAGGGAACAGGGAATCTGCTCATGGGATGTCCCTCTAGTTTTTCAGAAAAGTAGGAACTGTTTTTGAGCCCTGGTATTTTGACACCTGTGCACAACCAGCCTCACTAAGTGCAACCTACTGTACTAGTATGTTGTGTAGCTTCCACCCATGTTCAAAATGTCACTGAGATCTGCTTTAAACCAATGGGATTTCTGTACCTCACCCCAGTCAAAGCCTTTGGAGCTACTATAAAAGCAAACATCTCATTTCATTCAATTAAGCAGTTTGTTCTAAATTTGCAGCCATGACTTTTAGCCCCATTGCATTGTTTTTGAATGTCCTTTCCCTTCATTTTTCCACCATTAGAGTATTGCCTTGACCTTGAAATAAAAGAAAAAAAATTTTTTTAAACCCATCAAGCTTAAGTCTATCTAAATGAAAGGGTAGAGGCTGCTCTAAACTTTGAAAATAAGGCTTTCTCCCCAAAAGATGGCACTCATTCTGCTTCAAAGCCACTCTATGATCCCAGGAATGTAAAATTACATGTACTGTCTTCATGTGGGCATGAAGAAAATACAAAGGAATGAACAAACGGAGCCACTTTAACATGACCGTCAAAAAAAAAAAAACAAAACTCCTAAAGTATCCTCCGTTTGATTGGGCCTTTTCCTCGCAGTTTTCCCCTCCATGTTTCTATCCCTATGTCCTGGTTGACCAGGTAGACTGTGGAAGGAAGTCAGATTTCTTTGCTCACTCTTGAGATCTGCTGTGTATTTTCAAATTATAGAGTTTACTTGAAATAGAAATGACATAGAAATATCCTTCCTTCTACCTTTTCCTTCTTACAGAAACAAAGAACCCAACTTTTTCTTAGTTGTTTTTTTCTCCCAATCCCCTAAGTGAGAAATAATTCAAAGGCTTTGTAATTTATAGCTCATGACAAAAAGCATGGAATAGAAAGTTCACCACTTGGGGAAAAAAGTGACCGTCCATTTGGATAAATTAAATATTAACTCCTCCTTGTAAAATTTTCTAATGGTGATCCATTTCTTCTGAGGAACTAGCTGATATTTTAGTTGCTAGAAAAGTCAAATATTTTTTTAAAAAACAACATAAAAATCTCTGGATTGGGAACTGATAAAACTAGGAAAATTCTTAATTATTTTCCAAGCAGTGATAATTTGCTACTGAACTGGAATGGACTTCTGCTTGTAGCATTGTTCTTTTTCTTGAGCCAACAGTGAGCCAGTGCCCCTGGCTTTCTTAACCCACTGATGAAAGGGAAAATAATATCCCAAATAAGCTTTCTCCCATAGGTTAAAATGGCAGCAGATGAATGGTCTAATTATGCTATGTCATGGGTGATGTAAGAATGCTATGTTGCCATTCCATGGGTCAGCGCACTAATGGATTTCAATCCAATGACAGCCATGGTGTCCATCATATCCCCTCATGATGAAGTCCTCCCAAAGAGCAAGGCAGGGACAGCTGAAAACTCAACTGTCTTCCTTCCCCCTTCCTCCTGAGCTCCCCTTCCTTCTGGCTTAATGAAGGCTCCTTTATATGGTACTGCCAAGAGATTACTTATGCCACTCCTATGCCTTCACCGATCTTCTTTCCTCTGCTGATCTGAGATAGAGCAATGACGACTGAGCAGGTGGCTCTTTTGATGAGCTGGTTGCTAGAGCAGGACAGGAACAGGTAAGGGAAGAAGTGGTATTTTTGCTGGTAGCTATTTTCCTGCTTGGCAGTTTGACAGGTAACAAGTACTTCCTGCATTCATGGTTGCCTGGGAGGCTTCAACTTGCAAAAGAGGTTGCCATGTCTTACACACATCTAGAAAACTGTCTCTGCCTGCAGGGGGTGGGGAGGTTATTTTAAGATTGTTGTCTGGGCACTCAGCCTTTTGTGTTCTGTGCCTTGAATAGGTTGCAAAACGAAACAGCAGCTAATGAAGTCCTTGCAAGCATCCAAAACTACTTCAAGTCTCAGCCCTTTGATTTTAGGGGTGCTCAAATCATTTCTGGGCAAGAGGAAGGGCTATATGGATGGATTACAGCCAACTATTTAATGGGAAATTTCCTGGAGGTGTGTGAAAACTAATGCATGGTTTTTAATCTTGCTGTTTATCCTGTCCCCTGTGACTGGTAGCTTAAGCAGAGGTGAATGGGCCAGCCGACAGGGCCACCTGTCCTGTGTCATTTGTATCATGTATGCATTAGGGAAACATTCATGATATAGAAGCTGAGACATATATAGCTGGGGTAAAACCTTCGATCCTAAATAGAACCAAATGCACAGGGGAGGGGGGATATCATCACTTTACTAGCTAATAAGAAATTGGAGGCGGGGGAGGATCTAAATCTAGCAGTGGGCTCTGGGTCTTTTGAAGGGCAGCTGGGGAATGACCCTTCCAAGAAGTCCCATAGCCATCTGGGTTTTATGGATCCCTCAGGCAGCCTGCTTCCCACCTCATTCTGTGTCCTCAGGTCTCCTTACACTCCAGTCCCCACACTCCTTGCTCCTTTGGTGCAGAGGAAAGCTGACTCTAAGAGATAATCACATTAGAGAGGGCATAAACTGAGGGCACCCATACCATGTCCAGCCCAAGAACTATTTTCTTCCCCTTTGAATATATTTTTAATTTAATTAAGTGTAATTCATTTAGTTAATATTTTGGAAATTTCACATAAAAACCCATGGTTCTAACTTCTGACCCCCTCACTCCCCAAAATTTGAAAGAGCTGGTCACAGTGGACTCACATTCCTACATGGCACCAACCAACTGGAATGCAGTGTAGCTCATGCATTCCCCAGTCTGCCACAGTCCCCACCATTCCCTATTGTCTGTGCCTAATCTACTCTCCTCCTTATGTTACCTGTCCAGTCCCTGCAAGCATTTGGCCCTGAATGCTCCCCATGTCGTACTTCTTAAGAAGATGGGTCTTGGGTAGAGAACGTTGGCCAATCAGAGATGGTACCTTCTTTGGTCTTTTTTCTTGCTTCTTGTTCCCACCGTGTAGAGGAACCTGTGGCATATGTGGGTGCATCCGAATGGAGCAGAGACCGTTGGTGCCCTGGATTTAGGTGGTGCTTCCACTCAAATATCCTTTGTGGCAGAAGAAAAGGTGGGGCAGAACAACAGCAGCACCACGGTGTCCCTGTACGGCTACAAGTATATGCTCTACACACACAGCTTCCAGTGCTATGGCCGGAATGAGGCTGAGAGGAGGTTTCTGGCACTCCTCCTTCAGGTATCTGAGCCAGGGAGCAGGAGGGCTTCCCTTGGGGGTCTTAGCTGAGGGGAGGGTGCTTTGCCTTCTGGGGTCTGTCCTTTCCACTCCAATTAGAAGCCGGATGGAAACAACGGCATTTTCCTGTTTACTTGTGGGGGTCCAAGTGTGCACTCTCTCTCTCTGATGTATTGACCACTTCCAGTGTATTTGAGTCAAAAATCCAGGGAAATTCCAGGGCTCCAGATGTTTTGTAAGTGACTCAGAACTTGGGATCCCTTTATGGACCCAAACTGTTTTAAACCAGTCACTAAATAAGCCTAAGAATATTGAGACTCCCCTGAGTGCAGACAAAATAATACGGGTGTTCACAGGAGAAACGCCTGTTGACAGGGGAGAGAGCAGAGCCTCCCCCAGGCTCAGCCTCCTGTTGGATTAGCCTATATTAGGCAGATTTGATGCCCTGTATATGGTGGGATTTTGCAAAAACCAAATTCCATCACATTGGTCAGTAATTCATGTGGCCACTGTTCCATGGCACAGATGGCTACTTCAGACATCAGCTAGAAGGCTGTCACCAATATAAACTCGATGTCAGCACTGTGTGCATCAGCAAGGGCACTAGCACCATGGATGCAACCCCAAGCCCCAAACTCCAGCGCTCAGGGGACGTCAGTCTCAGCCATGGCTGAGAAGGGAAGTTAAGGATAAAGGGAAAATGAAGGGAAGGGGCCTTGATCCCCTAGAGGGACATGAGGCCAACCAGAGGCCACAGATCCTGGCTTTGGATGGGACCCAGGGGCAGGAGACGAGGGCTGGGTCTGTCTATGACTAACTATAATGGACACAGCATCAGTAGGTTAACCCCTACCTCTCTGATCTGCTTTGGTAATTGAGGGAGGAAGCAGTATTCCCCAGTCACTATTCTGCAGAAGAAGTGGGTTGGTTTACAAAAGTGTCATCAGCAGGACTCACAGCTTCAGACTCCTGCATCACTGACTAGTCATGCAGGGTGGGTTGTAAGAATTCACCCTCCAGTTCTGGCCCACTCCCCAAAACTTGTCTTTCAGCCTCACAGGAAGGGCTGGAGCCCCAGTACACACGCATGCCATGTGTACTCGGGAGAGGCTGAACACTGCCTGGGAAGGACCCTGCAGGCAGTCCTCAGCTATGCATCCACTTCTCAGGAGATGCAGTGACCACCCCAGACTCTCATCTCCACCCTCCACTAGGCCAAACCAAACCCCCCAGGGAGCTTAATCAACCCTCCCCAGCTGGGGCTCCTCTTTTCTCCGTTTCTTTTTATTTTTTATTTCCAGCAATACTTAATGCCCCTTCCTCCAGCTCTGGCCCTGGCAGGGGTGGAGGGGGGGGGGGGCTCCTCTGAACTTCAGACAAGAGAAGAGAAGCAGGTGAAATACCCTTTTCCCGGGGTGATTGGAGGTCTGAGAAGCTACCTCTAAAATTTGGATGGCCTGAGAAATTGTGTGTGTGTGTTTATGCACACATTCCTACAGTGTTTAGGAACAGTCTACAGTAGAGAAGTGAATACTCCACCTGGGTGAATACTCCACATTTGGTTTGAGAATGCAGGTCTCAAGGTGTGAGCCCAGCACTGCGGGCTGAGGTGGAGATGCCAGCCTCTCACTGTGGACAGTCAGCTCACAGGGACAGGGGGGTGTCTCCAACTTTGCCTCATAACATCTGGATGCCTGGGAAGGTGGCTCCGCCCTCTAAGCCTTCTGACTCAGGCGAGGGGAAGGATCCAGGTGTGATGAGGATCACTCACAAATGCATGTCCTGGCCTGCCTGACCAATAACTTCATGTTTCAAAGATGTATTGCCAAGCCCCAACTTAGAAGGTTCCCAAAGATTATTGCACCATGAACACTGGCTGAGTAAATGTCACCAGTCTGATTCTCATTTTCTGGTCTGTTATATAAGGGGCTACATGGAAATGGGAGAATGACACCCAGATACATACTCTGCAAATTATTTTCTTAATAACAGGCCTCCAGTCACTCCAGTGCTCAAGTCTCACTCTGATAGCATGTTAGACATTAAGGATACACATTCATTTCCTCTCCTTCTTTAAGTAAGATCTTTTCTTCTGTTTTTAAAGTAGTATATGTTCAGCGAAAAAAATTTATAAATAATAAAACAAACAAACCAACAAAACCTGGACTTAACCACCATCAACATATTGCTGCATTCTTGTCATGCTTTCTTTTTCCATGCATGAATACATGTATTTACAAATTTGGCCCCATATGATATATATAATTTTATATTCAGCTTTTTTTTCACCTAGCAATAATATCATGAGCAATTTCCTGTGTTGTTAAATATCCTTTGAAATTGCTATTTTTATAGGTGCATAATATTCCAAGAACCATTATTTAAAAAGAAAAACTATATTGATTATTTCATTATAAAAGAAAGTAATTTTTATTGTAAAAATGTCAAACTATACAAAAAGGTGTTAAAATAAAAATGAAAGAACCTCCCTCCAATCCCAGTCACTGAGTGTCTTCACTGATCTCAGCTTGATATGCTATAGTTCTATGCTTTTCCTGGTCAATATATAACTTATTTTCTTTACTATTTAATATTCCATAGTTCATCAACAATTCCTCTCCTGATAGACACCAAGCTATGTCCTTTTTTTCCCTACAACAGAAACACAGTAAACCTTGTACATATAACTACGTAGAAGTGATTTATGAACTAGTGATTTTACTTCTGTAGGACAGGGTCGAAAAATAGGGATATTTTTAATTTAAATGGATCAATAGGCAATCTTTTAACAAAATTGAAGCCATTCAGATTCCCGCCCTCAATGTTGTGATAATTTTTTGTACTCTTATAATTTCAGGGATTCCAAGACGTTCTAGTAATAAATACACGGATGAGAATCTATTTCTGAATTTTGTGCTTTGTTCTATTCATCAGTTTGTTCATTCTTGAGCCAATATCATGTTCTTCTAGTTGCAATAGTTTGTTTTCTACTCTCAGACATTTATTTTAACTTCAAAATTATCTTAAGTAGTAACAAAGAGAAAAAATTTTCATTGAGGTTATGATGGCAGTTGCACAGATTCATACATTAATTAGGTTTAAAAAAATGGCTTGTTAGTGATTAGAATTTCTATCCAGATCTGTAAAATATTCTTCCATTTATTTAGTTCTTAGTTTGTATTCATCAGAAAACTTACAGCTTTCAACTTACAGCTATACTTTTCTTTTAAATCTACTTTCCTTGTGTATGTTATCACTGTTGAGATGCTGTGTGCTCCGTCACTACTGAGATGCTGTGTGCTCCGTCACTATTGAGATGTTGTGTGTTCCGTCACTACTGAGATGTGGTGTGCTCTATCACTATTGAGATGTGTGTTCCATCACTACTGAGATATTGTGTGCTCTATCACTACTGAGATATTGTGTGCTCTATCACTATTGAGATGTTGTATGCCCCGTCACTAGTGAGATGCTGTGTGCTCCGTCACTAGTGAGATGCTGTGTGCTCCGTTACTACTGAGATGCTGTGTGCTCCTTCACTACTGAGATGCTGTGTGCTCCGTCACTACTGAGATGCTGTGCACCCTATCACTACTGAGATGTTGTGTGGTCTATCACTACTGAGATGTTATGTGTTCTGTCACTATTGAGGATCACTCCTATCACTATCTTTCCCATCTGTAACAGGTTTTACTCTAAGGTCAGATTATGCCATGGTTTTTTGTGGAACCTTTTCTCTAAAGTCTACTGGTTGACCCTTTCATGCCCGAGCCCTGCAAACACTAAGTTCAGGAAAGATTTTTTGAATGGTGAAGACTTAAATAATTCACACTCTAACAAGAGAATTGAAATCATCTTTACTGAGCTTCTTCTAGCCAGAAATTATCTTTCTTCTTCTCCAAGCCATTTCTCTCCAAGAAATGATTTGTTTAAAAACTATAAGTCAGATTTGGAGGGGGAAACTAAGGACTCAGTTGCTTGATTTGATTTTCTTTTTAACCAATATTTTAGCCATAGGGTGACCCTGGTGTGATAGATTACAGATTAGACTTAACAGCTTTTGAATATCATAGATTTGTTTTCACACCACTGAGGCAGAAAGGGGCCTATATGCTGCCTCCACAGTCATACTATGATCTTTCTGGAGGACACTCATGTAAGTTATATTGGATGAGTATCAGACTTCTTTAGGATTCTGTGCAGAATCTTACCACTGACTTTTGTTAAATGATTAGATTATGTTGATGTGTACCTCAGTATCCTCATCAGTAAAATGGAAGAGTTGGGCTAAAAGTGTTTTCTGGGTCAAGACTTTAATGTAGGTAATAAAATATGCTTTAGTGGCTTTGAAATCAGATGGAGTTCAAATCCAATTCCTTGGCAAACAGGGTCCAAAAGTAGAATCAAATACATTTCAGAATTTAGCATAAGATAAAGGCAACTTTTTTTTACCATAGATAAAAGATTGGATAGTCATCTGGAAAAATCTTAACACCAAATAAATTACAGACAGATTGAAGATGTAACAGGATATTTACTGCAGCATCATTTTGTAATGGCAAATGATTGGAAACCACCTAAATTTTCCTTTAGAGGGGATTCTCTAAATAAATTATAGTTTATTTGTACAGTGGAGTTCTATGCAGCTACTAAAAAGAAAAGGCACTCTACATGTTCAATGAATGGAAAATCTCAAAGATATATTTTAAGTAAGAAAAACAAGGAGCAGTATGTATAGAATACTGCCATTTATGATTTAAAGTTAAAAAAAGAGAGGGGGGAAGAAAAAATATATGCATATGCATATGCATATAACAAGTCTACACAAAGTCTCTGGCACACAAAAACTGGCATTAGTGGTTACTTCCAGGGAAGGGGATCTGGGTGGGGGAAATGGGTGGGAGGGAGCCTTAATTTTCATGGTATATTTATTTGTACCTTTAGAATTATTTTTTTGAGTGTGTAGATAATATTCTCTTCAAAATGGCTAATTAATCTAAACATCAATATCTTGTTTTCACATCAAAATGGAATTTATAAAACCTGCTTCACGGGGCTGTCATAAGGGCTGGAGCAGATAATGTGAGCAAGAGCCTAGCACTGTGCCTGGTGCGGGGTGACCGTCCCTCAGCCCCCACTTGAGTTACCTGGACAACCTGGGAGTTCCCTTCAAGAACACACTGACACAGATGGCAGTTTTTCCATTTCTTTCTTGGCATTGGAGGGTAGCAACAGTGAGAAGCAAACAGAAAGTACTTGATTCTCCACGGAACAGTGATTTCTAACACCTCACTCTTGTACCTGCAGAATTCTACCACCAAAACCAAGGTAACCAACCCCTGTTACCCTCGGAATTACACCACCACCTTCATTGGGGCAGATGTGTTTGGCAGCTTGTGCACGGCGGACCTGAGACCTAAAAGTCATGACCCCAGCATCATCACTTTTGAAGGAACCGGAGACCCATCACTGTGTAGGGAAAAGGTGGCCTCCCTATTTAACTTTAAGGCTTGCCATGACCAAAGAAACTGTTCCTTTGATGGGGTTTATCAGCCAAAAGTTAAAGGATCATTTTTGGTAAGAGCAAAGCCCTGAAAGATTCCTTGATTCCCCACTGAATTTTTATTTTTCACCTTTCTGTTTTTCCTCTGCTGACCTGTTTCTCACTTTCTTATTTCCTACTCTCAAACCTCCATACAATATTCCATTCTGAGGTCTGATTTCCTTCCAGGCTTTTTCGGGACTCTACTACACAGCCAGTGCTCTCAACCTTTCGGGTAGCTTTTCCCTGCACACCTTCAACTCAAGCACATGGAATTTCTGCTTACAGGACTGGAGTCAGGTCAGTATTTAAAGGGAACGGATCAGTATCAGTACAAAACAGTAGAACAGAGTAGAGTCCATTTGTGTGCCTGTGTGTACGTTCTGAATTTGGCCTTTGTGCTGTTCTATTTTCACCACACCCATAAATAGGGGTAATAAGGGATCCCACCTCATAGCCGCATTGTGGATTAATGTTTTAACCACAGGTGCAACGGTTAGAACAGTGTTTGGCACATAATAAGCACTCTATAAACTTAGATTGTTCTTCCGTGATGTTGTACAGGGTTTTTAAATTGAAGTATTGAAGATATGGTGTGTATACACAATGGAATATCACTCAGCTATAAAGAATGCAATTTCGCCATTTGCAACAACATGAGTGGACCTGGAGGGTACTGTGCTTAGTAAAATACATCAGACAGAGGAAGACAAGTACTGTCTGTTATCACGTATATGTGGAATCTAAAAAAAAAACCAAATGAACATAAAAATAGGGATATTTTATTATTATTTATTTTATTGTATTATTTTAAAATAATATTAATTACGAAATTCTGAGTGATAAGATTCTTTAAAATATGACTCTTTGACCTAAGGTGTTCTGAAATGTGCATATTAAAACCTGCCTCCCCCCTGCTGTGAACCTCCCTTTAGCTCCCGCTGCTGCTCCCCAGGTTTGATGAGGAGTATGCCCGCTCCTACTGCTTCTCAGCCCACTACATCTACCACTTGCTTGTACATGGATACAAGTTCACCGAGGAGACCTGGCCCAAGATACACTTTGAAAAAGAAGTAAGTCAAAGGACAAATTGTTTTCTCCCCTTCCTCTCAAAACTAATGTTTGTGTGTATGTATCTGAATAAAATGTAGAAGATAAAGGGGAATTGGGAATTTAAGTTTCCTGGATGGGAGCCAATGAGACCTTGATTGCTTGTGAGCTAGAAAAGAGATGATGGAGAATTCAGAGGAAGTGGTCACCAGAAACCCCTCCACGTGAGTTAAGGATTAGAAGCCAAGAACTATGGACTCAGCTATCTGGGGAAAGGACTTGCTTTATCATCTGCATATTCCTAGCATTCAGCACAGAGACGAAAACCTGGAAGGTACTTAGTAAATGTCTGTTGAGTGAATAAACAAACATATTAAGGGTCTAAGACTTTTCATCCTGAAGAAGCTTCAAATATAATAACTTTGTTGAGAAGATAGTAACTAATTGCTCTCTACTGTACACAGGTGTCAGAGTGAGATACATGCTTTAGAGCATGAGTGATTAAACAAGAGCATTAAATAAGAATTTGCTCTTGCAATGAGTCTGAGCTCACTGTATTCACTCTCAAGTGTCCACAATGGTCCAAATCTGGGATTAAAGCTCTTGTCTGGTAACTGTTTGGTGAGAGGTCTCTGTACCTGGCTTTCAGGCAGGACTCAGCCTTGCTGATATGTTCATCCAGCACTCTGTTCTCCAGGTTCTGGGAGGGTTCTCTCATTTCAGGGATAGCTGTTGTAAAGCCTGAAGTATGTCTGGAGTCAGTCTGTTCAACATTAGCTTCGGCAATAATTAGATTAAAGCGTGCAATATCCAGCCTTAGGCCTGGTGACTGTTTACTTGTACATACATAAAATTGAGTCATCCACAAAAAATAAGGATGTCTGGAGACCTATAAGGACCCTTGGTGGCATGTACTCTCCAAGTTTTGTTTCTAATGAATCTAATTACCAGGAAAGTACATTATGAGAATGGAGAATGATTTTCCATTAAATACCAATTTGGGTGGATACAGAACTCTGGGTTTCAAGTTCCTTTTCTTTATTTATAAAGAATTTTATACTCAGCCAAATTAGTATTCAAATGTGAGGGCATAAAAAAGACTTCAGAAGATTTGCCACACAAAGATTTACATCCAAAATATTTTTGGAGTAAGTGATTAAATAAGAAGAGAAATAAATTAGATGTTATAAAAAGTAGGCAATAAGAATAAATTATGTTGTGGCTTAAAACTTATTTTAAAAAAGAAAACTAACACCAAAGAAAAGTAAAAGAGAAGAATCCATTTATAACAACCCAGAATTCAAGTATAGCTAAAATTCAGTGCAATGGGGGTGAGGGACTGAAGGGTGGCCTAAAATGCTCACCTTGTAAAGGGGAACATATTTATATGATTTTTAAGGCAATATAGGAAAATAGCACTTACTGAAAATTTAAAACTGAGATATTAGAGAGAAGTCCAAATATATCAATAATCACAATAATTATAAATGATCTGAACCTACTGGTTAAAAGACAGACATTGTCAGATTGGATTTTTGAAAACCAAGGATATGTCGTTTATAAGAGAAATACTTAGGCTTTAAGCATAAAGACATGAAAGTTCGAAAGTTAAAAAAAATTTTAACTATCAGGCAAACACCACCCAAAAGAAAACTGATGTAGCTATTTAATACTTGACAAAATAGTCTTTAAGATGAAGAGCATCATTCGAGGTAGAGAGGATAACATAATGATTAAAAAGTTCAGTTTATTATGAAGATTGCAAATATGAAACATTTATTCATCTAATAAAATAGCCTAAAAACACGTAAACAAAAATGGATTGCAACTACCAGATGAAACTGACAAAGTCTTCCCCATTTAGACTGGCCTCCTGTTCTTAGAAACCCCCCGTTCCTGGATTCAGTAACACATGCAGCACCCTCCTGCTTTAGCTAGAAATGTTCCTGCACCTGATGACAGAGAAGCTTTCACCAGCATTAACCGTGCCCTCTTCACACCTGGCTGTGCAGAGGCTGTGAGGTTCAGCTCTTCTGGCTGTTTTCTCTGAGGTGCAGGAGTTTGGGCCCTTGAGAATTTGTGTTCACAGTGACCTGGGTTCTAACCCAGCCTGCAGTGTCTGAACCTGGGCAAGTCCTCTGACGTCCTTAGGCCACAGTTTTCTGGGGGTGGCTCTGGAGGGTTACCGGGGTGTGTCCTGGGGATGTAATCTGCGCCTCGACTCTGGCCCTGAGAACTGAGGCATCTCCTCTGCTCCACAGGTGGGGAACAGCAGCATAGGCTGGTCTCTTGGCTACATGCTCAGCCTGACCAACCAGATCCCAGCTGAAAGCCGCCTGATCCGCCTGCCCATCCAGCCATCTGCCTTTACAGGCATCGTCGCCTTCTTCGCAGCAGTTGCTTTGCTGTGTCTGACATATCTTGTGTACCTGTGTGTGTCATCCAGGAATCAGAGGCGCTCCCAGAATTCCTTGGACCACGTGGTGGATTCTGAGTGAGCCTGACAAAGTGGCTCCTGGAGCCCGAGGGCTGTCCAGAACCAGCCTGGGGGCACCAGATAATGCAAGCCAAATGTCCATCTTCGGAAAATACAAGTAAAGCCAAATACCTAAGTCGTGTGCCTCTCAGATACTGATTTATGCCAAAGCACCTCTTGGGGAGCCCCTCAATCACTCTGTGCACACTGCTCCACCGCAGACCCCACCACCCACTAGCTGACCTTTTAGGGAACAGAGGCGAGACAGGCCATCAAGGTAGGGCTTTTTATTCCAAGTGCCCCAGAAGAAGAGTAAGTTGAGAACATGATAGTTTGATGTCAGAGAACCGACCTCAGGGCTCAGTTTGCATTTACCCCCTTCAAAAATGCCGTATTCATCCCAGCAGGTATGGAAGCTGGCAGGTGTCTAGTAAGCATTTGGCCCAGTCAGATATCTCATTTTATGGCTTCCTGTCATTGGTCCTTAACTAAGACTTCTTCTAGCAACCTCATAAACAATGAGCTCCCTCAGATGGGTAGAATATCTTATCTGGGGGAGAAGCCTCCTGTAACCTGAGGACAGTGGCCACAGCCAAGCTTCTGTCATGGGGACAGATCCTGAAGGACAGAGACACACAGAACATCTCCCAGAAAACTGCAGGCCCCTCGTGAAGTGGGGTCCCACTCAGGGCTCTGGGCATTAGATCGCCACCTGTTGTGTTTCATCCTCTTTACCTGTCCCCCTTCCCATTAAGGTGTCTCTTCCGTAAAACGTTTATTCCTAGGAAGGCTATAAAGTTCCAGATCATTCTGCCTTTGCTAGGCTCTTGCTTGCGGCTGAATTCCCTTATTGGCAAGGTGTGTGTACTTCGCCCACCATTCCCACAGGTATACCTGATGCTGTTATAGGACATCCTAGTCTTTGATTTGCCAGGTACATTCCTAGATGGCAGGCCTCTGCAAAGTAGCCATAATTCTTGATTGGGGAAAGACAAATAAGCTGCAGCAATGTTTAACTCCAAAATGGGATAGAAAAGAACTCCAACAAGTCCAATGGCTACAAACTAAAAATCAACAGTCTTTTGGATTGTAGTTTCTTAGCTGAGTATGGAATAAAAGACTCATTTTATTGTGATTGAGGGGTATGTGTGTTACCCTGCACTCTTTCTCCTAAGGACCTAAGGTGGTATGTATGAAAGGAAGCTTCAAAAGCTAAGAAAATTTTCTTAAGAAAACCTTCCTGGTGTATTAAGTCATGCATTAATATCACCTTTATTCCAGAGTTCAATGTGCTTCACTTTAATAATAAACCTCTGGCTCCTTGAGATAATTGAGTCAAACATTTCTTTACCTTATTTGACATTCAAAACTTCTATAAGGCTACAATCTGCCACTCAGATCTTGATTGCACCCAGAATGGCTTCCCCCATCCCACAAACACACCATTGTTCACACAGTTCTCCTGACCTAGACTGCAGGTCATCTTCCCACCCACCCAAATAATACATATTTCTTAGGGCCCAATCCTAGCTCTACTTCTTCCACAAAGCATTCCTTGTGTGCACATGTATGTGGGCACACACACACACACACACACACAAAACAACCTATCTCCTGAACCACTTTTAAAAAACTAATTATATAAATTTTTAGATTGTTGTTTTATTTTCTGACATGTATCAAAGAATTCTTTTCAGACAGATCATCTCAAGATTGGCAGGCCAAGTAATGTATGTAGTACTACTGTGGTAGGCAAAAGTCTAAGATGGTTCCCATTACCTTCACCCTGAGATTACATGGTTACATGGCACAAGGGATGTGCAGATATAATTATTCATCAGTTGACTTTAAGATGGAGAGACTATCCAGGTAGGCCAAATCTCATCACATGAGCTCTTTAATGGCAGAGCATTTTCTCCAGAAAAGGAAGTCATATTCAAAGCATGAAAAGGATCTGACTGTTAGCTTGAAGACAGAGAAGGCCACATGGAAAAGGCCTGAGAGCAGCCCCTAGGAACTAAGAGCAACCCCTGGCTGACAGCTAGCAAGAAACAGGGACCTCAGTCCCACACTGCCAGAACTGGGTTAAGCCAACAACCTAAATGAACTTGGAAGCAAATCTCCCCAGAGCTTCCAAATAAGAGATTGACCCAGTTGACATGTCCTTCTTAGCCTTGTGAGCCCCTCAGCAGACAACCCACACAGACTTCTGACTTCCAGAATTGAGAAGTCAGAAATGGGTGTTGTTGTAGGCCATTAAGTTTGTGTCCACTTGTTACAAAGCGACAGAAAATTAACACAACTATGGAAGACCCAAGCCTCCAAACAGAGCAAGTGCTTACATTTGAAATACACAGTAATGATAAAGTAATTAGCTATCACAAATTGTGCCTGTTCCTTACAATAACCATGCAAGAAAAACATGGGCTCAGCACTAAAATAACATGCCAGTATCACCAGCTAGTAAGCAATTTTGGAGATGGAGATTCCAGCCAGGTTAAGTCTAAAACGCATTATGTGCATCATACTTCCTTTCACACAGAAAGGCAGTATTGTGGCAGTTAGAGGAGTTTGGTTTTAGAATTTCATAGTCCAACATACCCATTTACGTGCAGTTGCGTGATTTAAGACAGAGGTGTCATGTCGTAGTGAAAAATGTGGGACAGTCGGATTTCCATATCGAGGCAAAAGGAAACTCAATCCCTTCTTACCATTTTCAAAAATCATTCTCAAGTCAGTTAAAGACCTAAGTGTGAAATATAAACCTACAAAGGTTTTAGAATAGAATGCAGGAGATAAATTTTAAGATCTTCAATAAGGGAAGAGTTTTTTTTTAATTGGAAAATTACTTTATGAAGCCACTGTATATAATTAAACTGTAGTCCAGAGTTAGATACAATTTAATTATAGTTCAATTCCAAAATAAAAGTTATTGTAGGTGAGACGATGAAATTTCCCAACACTAGATTTTAATACATTGCACTAAATTTTCTAAAACTCAGAGGAACCAATATTTACAGTAGATGGTGTATTTATGAAAAAGGGGGAAGAGTTCCTTAAACACTATACAAAAATCATTAACCATAAAAGAATAGAGATATGGTTGATTACATTAGATTGAGAACTTCTGTTTATCAAAAAAACACCATTAAAAGAGTGAGAAGACAATACACAGAGTGGGAGGAAGTATTTGCAACATATATAACTAATAAAAGACTAGCTTCCAAATTGCATAAAGAACTACAAATCAGTGAGAAGGAGGCAGGTGAGCCAATTTTTCTTAATGGGCAAAAGCCTGAAAAGACATTTTACAAAAGGAGAAATCTAAATGTCCAATAACTATGAAAAGGTTCTCAATCTCATTAAATCAGGGTAGTACAAATTAAAATTACAGTGAGATAACACAATATAATCATTAGTCTGGCAAAAAATGTAAAAATACCAAGTGTTAATGAAAGTGCAGAATGGCTGAAATTCTCATACACTGCTGGTGGGAATGTAAGTTAATGCAATCACTCTGGGAACCTGAGCTATTGTCTAATAAAGTTGAAGATATGCACACCAGATGGCCTGGAAATTCTAGGCCAAGGGATATACCTTAGAGATATGTGTTCTAACGTATACTAGGATACACACTTAAGAATATTCTTGCCAGCAACCAAGATGCCCATCCCATAAAATGGAAGAATAAATAGCAGTATATTTGTACTAGAAAATATCATACAGCATAAAGACAAAAGAACTACCAACATATGCCCAATATGGATGGATCTTACAAATATAATGTTGTGGTTAAAAAGGAAATCACAAAATAGATAAATAGATAGTATAATTCCATTTATATAAAGTTCAAAAACAGAACACAAATAACAAATGTTGGCAAGGATGTGGAGAAAAGGGAACCCTCAAACACTGTTGGTGGGAATGTAAATTGGTGCAGCCACTGTGGAAAACAGTAATGGAGGTTTCTCAGAAAAACTAAAACTAGAACTACCGTATGACCCAGCAACCCCACGCGTGGGTATGTGTCTGAAAAAAACCAAAAACACTAATTCAAAAAGATACATGTACCCCAATGGTTACAGCCACATTATGTACAATTGCCAAGATACAGAAGCAATCAAAATGTCCATCAACAGACGAAAGGATAAAGAAGATACATATATTCATATATATAATGGAATACTACTCAGCCATAAAAAATAATGAAATTTTGCCATATGCAACAACATGGATGGACTTGGAGGGCATTATGCTAAGTGAAATAAGTCAGACAAACACAAATACTGTGTGATACCACTTAAATGGGGAATCTAAAAAATATAACAGACTAGTGAATATAACAAAAATAAACAGACTCACAGATACAGAGAACAAAATAATGGCTACCAGTGGGGGGGAGGGACAAGATAGGGGTGAAGGATTAAGGGGTACAAACTATTAGGTATAAAATAGGCTACAAGAATATATTGTACAACACAGAATATAGCCAATATTTTATAATAACTATAAATAGAATATTACATTTAAACATCATGAACCACTATATTGTATACCTGTAACTTATATAATATTGTATATCAACGACACTTTAATCTAAAAAATGAAGAAAAAAAGACTGTTGAAATGCACAAAGAAACAAAAACAGCTGGCTAGTAGGTCTGGGACCTGGACCCAATTTCCTTACTCCCAAGTCCAACGTCTTTTCTATTCCACATCTCCTTAACTTGCTCATGTGTGATCCTCACTTATTCCACAGGTCTATGTACAGCCCTCACTCAGACCTGGAGGTCCCTAATGACAAAGGAATGTTGGTCTTAAGAAAATAAATGTTATTCTACTAGAACTTCAGAAAAATTACCAGTCAGTATATGCTTTGCAAAAAACCAACATTAATAGAAAACCTCACATTTGTTTGGATTGTAGAGTTAATCAAGTATTATTTTCTACCTCAAATACTGATATACTGAGGTTCCCACAGATGCTTTGCCTTACTAGTCAATTAAGACCAAAATCAATTTTAATTACATCTTTGTTTAATAACCTTTTGAGTGAATAACTGAAAAAAAAAAGTCCCAAAACAGGCAAAACTAAACACAGAAGTTAAACTCTAACACAAGCAAAGAAATAATTACTCTCAAATTTAGGAAGATAAAGGCTGTGTTTGGAAAGAGATAAAAAGACGTTTAGTCTGCTAGGGCTGCTGTAACAAAATACCATAGACCAGACAGCTTAAACAACAGAAATTCATTTTCTCACAGTTCTGGAAGCTAGAAAGTCTGAGATCAAAGTGAGAGCCATTTCAGATCCTGGTGAGAGCTCTCAGGTTTGTGGACAGCTGCCGGCTAGCTGATTTCTCACATGGCCTTTCGTCTGCGAGCTCTCTGGTGTCTTTTTTTATAAAGGCACTAGCCCCCTTATGACCTCACCTAACCCTAATTACCTCCCAAAGGCCCCAGACCTTAACACCACCACATTGGAGGTTAGGGCTTTAACATATGAAGACTGGGGACACACAGACAGTCAGTCCATGAGAAGGGGACTTCCAAGGTGAGTGACTTTTGGGCATTTCCCATCAAGATGGCGGAGCAGTAGGACCAAGAGCTCATCTCTCCTTGTGACCTACAACAAAACCACAACTGACTGCTAAACCACCATTGAAAACAAAAGACTAGAACCTAAAAAAAGATCTTCTTCAACTGGAAATATAAAAAGGGAACCACAGCGAGACAGTAGGAGAGGCGCGCTTGGGATATAATCAAT